CACCATCTCCTCCTCACACTCTCGCTACCTAACTTCTCAGTACCTGCAGACTACGAGAGAGAGAGAGAGAGAGAGAGATTGGTGACTTTGGGACTTGACGACATTGGATTCAGACTCGAGATTGGGATTCAGACATTTGACGAGGGATTATTTGGGACCTGTGCCGAAGACTTGGTGTTGACGACATTCCCATCTTCCCCTCTTCTTCGTCTAAACCCCCCTCTTCTTCGTCTGTGTATGGTTAGGGACTGACGCATTCTTCCTGTGTGAGCGCCAGGCCCCTTCACACCATGGAATGATGATGATGTATGTTTGGGCTGCATGGCGACATTGATTTTTCGGATCATTGGTATTTAAGCCTTCCGCTGTGCTATCTTGTATTATGTGAGAGAGGTCGGTTCTTGTTCTGGTCTGCACCTTTATGGTATGCGACAACAGCACAGCAGTGTTTCCGCAGTAACGTGCGACCGAATATGTGATGACGACTTGAACTATTTTAGTTTTGTATGCGACCCTTCAGTTCCGGACTTCCTCTTCCGGTACTTGTGCTGGACCTGTGGCTGATGTTGTTGAGGAAGCTCCCCGACTTTTTCTGAGACTTTGCGGCTGACTAGGACTAATTGACCTGCAGCCTAGCCGACTTCTGACTTTTCTATGCCTCCCAGTACATACCGGAATCTATGCAGGAATATGGGCCAGGGGACGGGGACTTGGACTGGAGCCAGGGCTTATGACTAGGACTGGAACAGGGAGCAGGGCGGGCCATCCTTCCAAGTGCAATCACACAAAGTTCTGCAATAGCGGATCTTTAAGTCGAGTACCTGCAAGCTGGGGTTCACCACAGAGACCAACCTCGCTGAAGTGTATATTTTGGACATGGCACGGGGTGTTTGGGATGATCCGGAGTGGTCCATCAAACATGGACATGGACCCACCTTTGTGGTTTGCGAAAGCTACTGTTACCTCGCTCCCTGACAACAACTTCCTGATGTGCCACCAGACCTACACAGTCAGCACTGTGGTGCATGTGTTCAGCGAAGGGCTGGACATAGCCAGGAGATTGCCGGATTTTGAGCCTGGATACTTACACGAGGACTTGTCAGGCCCATACACTTCAAAAAAAGAAAAAGCGAAGGAAAAAATGAAAAGAAGCTAGGATAACTTTCTGGGTGCCAGAGCTCCCTCTGGCTGCCTGGAACGCCCAGCCAGTCAGGGTCCTGGCCAGATCCTGGGCAGATCCAGTTCAAAAAACGAAAACTTCTGAAAAATACAAGATTTCTGGAATAACACTGGATAACAAAGAAAGAGCCGGAGTTCAGGCTCCTTCGGTGGGCGCAGACACAACCCACTGAAAATAGAAGTCCAGGACTTTTAACATGCCCGGTTGACCTGAGCTGATAGGCGCCCCAGGTAAACTAGAAAAATGCAGAAAAAGGAGAATACAGAGACCCCGTAGTAAAGGTTGTCCTGTGCAGGACCCTGAAGGGGATCAGCCTAAAACAGTTCTGTTCCGACAGTGATTGGTCTACTCGAGTGGTGGGACGGCCCGTGTTTGCATCTCAGTCAAGGAACATTGGACATCTCGGTCAAGGAACATTGAAATTTAGTTCGGACCTGCGGTTCTTTTTTGGTGGTTGCCCTTGCTTCCACTCTGTTTTATCCCTGATGTGCACGCGCGCGGGTGTGTGTGTGTGTGTGTGTGTGTGTGTGTGTGTGTGTGTGTGTGTGTGTGTTGTGAATGTTCACTACAACATCCCCTGCACCAGATGAGGAGGTCCAAAATTGCAGCAACTTTGCCTCTATCATAGACGATGAAGCATCCTTGAGATGAACCAATCCACCAAGGAAACAGTGTTGCCTCCATAATCAGCAAGCAGAATAGAAACATTACCTTTATGCAAGCAATGCCTACATGAGTAGATCCAAAATCATAGGAACCTGTCCTTTATGCAAGCAATGCAGCACACTTGAGAGGGGCCTACCCAACAATGAGACAGTTAGCAATATGAAACACAAGGGATCAATTATATCGTCTTCTTGACTATATTCACCGTTATTATCGTTGGGAGGCCTCCCAGTTTTTTGGTTCTTACAACACCTCTCTTACTGTGCCTCTCACGTACAAGGCTGGCCACGTTGATGGTGGTTAAGTGCCAGCTGCCCACATCCCCATGTGCCTTAATGGCCCACTTACACGTTAGGAAAGGAGGCAGAGTACAGGGGGTGGCTTGTATTTTGTCTGTTCTCTTGGTGACACTCATTCATATGCGTCTACGAGTGATACACACGGAGAGGGAGTACACAATGGGAGGGATAAGAGAGGGGGGGGGGGGGGNACACACACACACACACACACACACACACACACACACACACACACACACACACACACACACACACACACACACACATGTTTTTTAACTTTCTGCTGCAGTTTTCTGTGTATCCCATTCCCCGTCAGCTTCAGGTAGTACCAGACTACTACTAGGTGTCCATCTTCAGTCAGCACATCGCAGCACATCTCACCACCGCTCTTCATGTCTCAGGTCAGTAGAAGAGTGCTCTTTTTTGTTGTTGTTTTTTTGTTTATGTGTTTTGAATAACGTTCTCCCAGACTTTTTACGGTGGTGATATGAGCACCCACCACTTCCAGCCCAGCTGCGCCTGCTAGCAGATGGCTGGTTGTGATGATGGCCATAATCATCACCATCAACATCATCAATAACACATTCCAGCTGCAACAGTAGGAGAGACAGCTTTCCCTGCGGAATGCTGCTGCACTCTGCTCTTCAAAGGGGAGGTCACTAATATTAATGAAATTGAACATGGAGTCGTGGACAACAATAAATGCCATTGGGCCCATTGGGGGGTTTTCTGGTGCGGACTGCTGCCTTTGTTCTTTGATTTATTTCCTTCAATGAAACACAGTACGCTTGGTGCAAAAAAAAAGAAGAAAAAAAAAAGGAAAAAAAAAAAGGAAACTGCTCCTGAGTCACCTTTTTAGTAACAGCGATTTCGTGGCGGGAATGCTGCTCGTAACATCTTCACACCTGCAAGATATTGGACGCCCCGGCGTAGCTACAATGAAGAATCGAAGGAGAAGGAGTTTCTGTGTCAGCTTATCCAGAAGAAGAGGGAAGAACAAGCGAAGAGGAGGGAGTTCAAGGAAAAAAGGAAGATGGATGAGATGATTAGGCTAGAGATTGAGAGGAACTCGGAGGCTGTAGAGGCGAGGCTCATGTCTAAGATTGGGCGCCAATTTCTTGAAGCATGTGAGGAGGCGAGGAGAGAAGAGATTCAGTTCACCCGTGCACGTGTGCCGGTTTTCAGGGACACCGGGATTGGGGATTATGGAGATAAAGGGCTTGAAGAAATCGAGGATGAGATTGCAAAATTGTATGATTAGCGGGAAAAAACGGAACGGTAAGATCCCATTGGAGGAAGGGTTGCGGAAGCCTTTTAGACAACCGAATTTCCAGCGAGATTGTTCTACAGATTATGAAACTGGAGAGTCATCTTGAATGGCTGAAGAGCGGACACGAACCAAGGTATGTGCTGGCAGTGTTCCGGAAGGTGTGTTGGCTTTCGTACAAGCACAGCGCCGTCTTCTTACCCCAAAAAGCAAAGATCAATTGAAGCATGTTTGTCGGCTTGAAGGGTTGACTTATACAACCAAAGGTCCTACTATTGAACGGATCATTGAAGCGAGGGCGAAGCTTGCTTATGAAGGATTTGTCTTTGCTCCTTCCCCTTCGCCAGCGGTAAGTCAGGAGGAAGAAAGGACGCCTTGTAAATGCTTATTTGATCACTTTCGTTTCAAGTTATGGGCTAATTTGATCGATTGTTTGCATTTAAGATGCTCTGCTTGGTTATATGGTGCTCCCTCTCGCCTCCGTACTTTGTATGATATTTGTGTCACTTTGCTTATGGTGGCGCTGTCCCTTTTGGATGAGATCCGCTGGGTAAGTAAGTTTAAGTCCTTACTGTTATCGGTCGACTGGGATGCTTGGAGAACGGGTCTGGAGGTGTACTTACTTACGTCGCCTTGGTGCAAAGCTGAGTACAGAGGCTGTTCTGTTAGAGGGATTTTCATCGGATGAGATGAACACGTTCGGACGGTGCAGGCTAGGGGCATAGGGGTCTGTCCGCAGTTGTATAATTGGATGTCTTCCTTTGGCGTGTGGCATTATGTACCTTTACCATTGGTTAATGGGGTGATATCAGTGGACCAAGCTGAAAAACTCTTGATTAGGAATTTGTTGCCTTCGCTAAACTATCGTAGGATATTGCGAAACGCAAGACCTAGTCGCAGACCTAGCCGTATGAAGAGGGTGGGTTCGGAGTTGCGGCCAGTAGTGTTCTCAATTTTGAAGTTCCGGTTGCATGATGGTGACTGGACATATAGTTTGATTGCACTACTGAGGAGGGTCTTCACTTCCGGCCTTAAGGATTTTACGATCCAGGTCTGTGTTGCCGCACGTTCAATGAACGCGCGTTTTGTGTTCATATTTTGAACGCGTTGAACACACGTTCATTGAACGCGGCTAAACGCGTTGAGCGCGGTTGTGCAGGGCGCAGGGGTGTGGGCTGGGGGTCGTGTGTGTTTGTGTGTGTGTGTGTGTGTGTGTGAGAGAGAGAGAGAGAGAGAGAGAGAGAGAGATGGTAAGTCTCCAACCGTGCGAGGCTAAACGCGCTGAGCGCATTTGCGCGGGGCGCAGTGGGGGGGGGGGGGGGCCGTGTGTGTGTGCGCGCGCGCGCGCGAGAGAGAGAGAGAGAGAGAGAGAGAGAGAGAGAGAGAGATTGGTTTTCGCTTCCTTGGCTGTCTTCTTTTTTTTAGCAGGAGAGCAACGAGAGCAGTTGTGGTCACCCAGGATCTCTTGCTGCAGCTGCCTACCATGCTGTCTCCCTGCCACCTTTTGTTGCTGTGGTTTACATTCTTTCTCAGAAGACAACTGAATCATGCTTTGGATTTTTTGTTTTTGTTCGTCGTGACATGGCAGATTGACTCCGGGTTGAAGGATGATTTGGTCCTGGCTGACCCAGATTCGCCAAGATTTGTCCTATGGGACGGGGAACTAAGGCCAGTGCCAGCCGGATTGAAAGATCTTCCCTTCTTCGACCTCATGAGCCCACTTGGCAAGATCCGTGCAGGGCTTGGTGCGCTCGGCATTCGACCAGCCCCTCCTCAGGTGAGCTTGTGGAAGTGAAACCATGTTCTTTTTCTGCTTTTTTTTCTTCTGTTACGATCCTGGTCATTCCCAAAGTGCAAATTCACAATGAAAGACAATGCCACACAATTGCGAAAGAAATGAAAGCACTTGCAAAGAGATAGAGACCAAAGAAGAAGAAGAAGAAGAAGAAGAAGAAGAAGAAGAAGAAGAAGATGTACACCAGCAAGACCAATTACAAATCCCCCTTCTCTCTCCACCTCCCTCCTCCTCCTTCACTTCGCCAATCTTATTCTTCTTCCAATAATAATAATAACAACGAGTGGATGAACCATAACCAATATCCGAAGTTCCCTCTTACTGCTGACACAACAACATGTCCACCATAGCTATGGCTTCCCCCCCTTCTTCCACCTCTCACATGCCTAGGCTATGGCGGACTACTGAGGGCTCAGCCCTCCTGTGCAAAGGACAACGCAAAGCAGCTATGTCGCTGCACTCCTGTCCAAAGGACAACCCAAAGCAGCTATGCCGCTGCTGACTAAACCGCCATGCCTGACTCTGCCTCGAACTTCCTTGGTGCGGCACTACCCCAACTGGGGCCTTCCAGATGAAGCGCCCAACAAGGTGATGAAGATGGTGTCCACCATAGCCAGGTAGGTACCTCGCCACTCTCCTCCTTCGCACCCTTCTTCCTCCTCCTCAGGCTGGGCTGCTCGCCATAGCCAGGCTGAGCGCTCAGCCACTCGTCACCTCCAGGCAGCGCTGCCCAAGTCCAGTGCTTGGCTCCAGCACCATGTCGCCAATCCTTGCATACCGCAAATGAGGAGCTGCTTGCTCCTCTGGAAGATATAGCGGCCTACTGGCCTCTTGGGCGGTGACTTCCTAGGCCGAGTGTCCTCCCAGCAACCGGTACCTCCTCCCTTTCGGAGGGAAACATCACTGCAGGCTCTGCTATCGTCCGGACAGGCCCTAGACTCGGGCTACTTGGACTGGTACCAGCCTACCTTTAACCTACCGCTACTGGGCCGCTAAAAGTGTCGTGGGCCTACTCCCGCTACTTGGGTGTTTTCCCCACTGCAACCCTCAAAGTCACGGCCACAGGTAAGTACCGGCCCTGCGGGGCCTTTCAACCAACAAGTACCCTTGCGGGTCACACACACACTCAGCCGACAAGCACGCAGACAGGCACGTAACCCAGCAGGCAAGCACACACACACAGACTTGGAAACCACAGCAGAATGCGGGAATCTCAGCAAGGCATTCATTCCAGCGGCAAATCCCAGAAATCAGCAGTGTTCTGAGTCTGTGTTTTGGCGGGTCATTACACTTCATGCAGGGCCCATTCTAATCTTCTCTGTATCCTTCCATTTCTAATGGATGCCAGCAACAGCTGCACATGATATTGCAGGCTCTGTTGGTTTAGCTTTTGTGATATGACGTCCACTGAGACCTAGCCTGGATGTCGAGGTCACTTTTGGTCGTTTGGGCTGTTTGAGGGATGTCCTGGATAGCTGTCCCTGCGGACCATGTCCGCGCCCAGTGCAATGTTTTGTTTTTCAATGTTTGGCGAACACTTGCTAGTGTGTGCGTGTGTGTATGTGTGTGATATATATCTCGCTAAAGGACGGACCTGCTACACACGCTCCCGCCAACGTCGCTATCCTACACATGTCACCCGTCTCTCTCAGTGGTTCCGACACATGCTGCATGGTCCTTGCATCACCCACTTTCTTCTTTATCCCCACATCGCGCTCGTCCTGTCACTGCTTGTTCATCTGCTGCTAATGCAGTTCCCAGTGTTGCGGTTCCCACCGCCGCCGCTTCCACCGCTGTGGTCTCCACTGCTGCAGTTTCTACTGCTGCTGTTTCAACTCCGGGTTTCACTCCAGCAGTTTCTGCTACG